AAATAACTTGATTCTTGTCTATTTAAGGTGCACCTAACCCCCTATTTGGAGTAATTAATTTTCGTATAATTCTAGACATAATTTTAAGCAAAAAAAAATTGATTCGCAATAAATCCCTGATTTTTAACAACTCTCCAAAGTAGCCAATAAAGCCTCAATGCATCCCTCTGGGAGGGTCATGGATGATAAAGAACGCAGAGAGTTGTGACAATGACTGATGACGTCTATCCAGGAATAAAGATGGAATTATATGGTTATTTCATCTATAAACCAACTAAAATAACAAGCTTATGACGGAATGAATCAAAAGACTATGCGGCTTTTGTGCATAGTTCCCGCCAGACTTCACGCAGACCAATTCCTGGGTGTATGTCACTCTTGGTCCCAGTCTCTTGGAATGAAACAATGTCTGTGAGGCCGTTGGCTGCACAAGTTAGCTATGCAATTAAAATTCAGGGATTTATCCAAATCAATTTTTTTCGCAGAAATGCTTAAAATTATGTCTAGAATTATACGAAAATTACTCCAAATAGTGGGTTAGGTGCACTTTAATGTCTCCCGAGTAATGAACTATAAGTTGATTCACTTGAGTGCTATCCTAACCCTAACCCAAAACACATGATTATAAGGCACTTACTGTAACAGCTCTAGCTCTGAAACTATAATTGGAATACAATTATCCAAACTAATATTTCTTTAATATTCACTGCTAATATTTCAGTGTATGCAATGAACCCAAAATTGTTATTTGGTTTACATACTGCTTGCTCTCTACCAAGAGAAGGTATAACACAGTCTCTTATTGGTTGAAAAGTGTCGAAGCCTGCCCTTGAATATAGTGCTGAAGATTTATACTGCCCTATTTGAACAGCAGTCTTAATTCACTAATAGTACCCACCTGTACCGTGTACAGTTGTATCACATGCTCCATTCTCCATCAATGAGTGGAAGAAAATTTGTTCTTGGGTTATAATGTAGAGTACTAGACAAATTGCTTGAGCCTAAAATATGACCAAATTAAGAAGATCGAATGAGATTATGAGAAAAAAATATTTATAAAGCTTGTCAAGAACCTCAGCAAGACACAATGTCAGTTGAAGTATACATTTCATTTAACATTTTTCAGAAACTCAATTGAAAGTGWCTCATGTATTCTCTTATAACTCATCCTTCACATGTATATAGCATGATATCTGTGCTATGATTTAACATTCTTCAAAACAAGCTCATCTCCCTTGCCCTCTATCCACCTAATAAATAGATGTTAATGTATAAATTGATAAAACAATGATGAATAAAACATCAAAGATGTATATATAGTTTTACAAAAGGTCACTCCTCTGTCTGAGAAGACAACACCAGCCTATAGAACCTATATCCCTGAAAATTATAATTGACTTCTGCAACTGTGAACATGTCAATGTCCTTCATTAAATGTTGACAACATAGCTTAGATTAGCTTTCATCCCTTGTTTGAAATATCTAGTTTTAGTATTACCATACTACTGGACTATTGTAAATCCTTCGTTCTGATTGGCTACGCTACTCAAGGTCTATAGTGAAAGGCGACAACTTTTTGCATATTTTAAATAGCAATAAAAACATTTAGTTATTTATAATATATTTCATTCATTTTTTGTCCAACTAGTATGGTAATACTAAAACAATAAAGATCTCTCGGCCTCGTAGTCCACAACGCCCTTGAGATCTCATTGTTAAATATTTTTTTATATTTTGTCAAACTTGCAGTCATCATATATCCATTAGACATTTCAAAACTCTTAAAAATAAACAATCAAAAGAAATAGCTTTTTAAATAGTTCATATACATGATATTAAATAATTGCTCACCAATGCTGTCAATATTAGATTCCAATATAGGACAACCCATACTGGGGAGCAATTCCTTCAAGCAAAAGCATCAAAAGTCGTAGGCATTTCTGGCAGCTCCACAGGATTAGGATTATTCACTCTGAAAGGAATACAGCAAGGAACTTGGATCACAAGCTATGCACCATTGGCACCTATTCAGCTTGGGCATAACMATCATTCTTCAGATTATGTCATCAAAACCAGACGGGATGGCCTCRCGGTTGAGATTGATGGAAGAATATGTCCTGTCGGTTTAGGGAAGCTGGTTCAAGATGGSTCCTTTCCATTCATCCTAGCCCCAGAGAAGTTCTCGTCTCTGGTGAGGTCACGTCTTAACTGTGAATTGGCAAATAGAGATGGAGAAATATGGTACAGAAGCACGAGGGATATTTTGGCTGGTGAAGAGCTCTAYGCTAAGTACTCTCATGACAATAGCTACTGGAATCTGCAATTTTCCACTGAACAACTCCAGTCTCTAAAACAAGCTCTGCTAACAGCATCTAAT